CAGGTGATCAATGAGCATCATCAGGATGAAAAGATTGCAAATAAGGTCTCTATCCCTCTCTACGCCCATCTCTTATAAGGTTAGAAACTCTTTGTAACCTCTCTCTATCCCCTTCTAGAACCTAGGAAGGTTTGAAATTATGATCTCTACGGATCCAAGGTGAATCCCATACTTGAATAGACCTACCATCTCCCATCTTATATCTACAACCCATACTCAATACATCCCTAGAACCAAGCTAACTTTTCCAAAGCCATGAATCACTACTTTTTAGCTTGACTTCTAAAATCTTTTTATCATTGAAGTACATACCCTTTGATTGTCCTGCTCATAAGAAAACTAGGTTTAGACAAGACTCTCCAAAGCTGCTTCCCTATCAAGGCAACATTAAAAGATCTTAGTTCTTTAAAACCCAAACCCCATCTCCATTGGCTTAGATAAATAACCCCAAGAAGCCCAATGAATTATTGCCTCTAGTTTCCTTTTTTCCTCAACCAAAAATTCGTAAAATCTGTACAAATCTCTTGGCACACAGATGAATGAAACATAAAGCAAGACATTACATAGGTAGGGAGGGCGCCATTGACAGTTTTGAGCAAAACCTCATGTCTCACTCAAGTAGTGGTTTTTTCACTTAGAAATTCTATTTTTAACAGCCTCACTAATGAATTTAAAAATGTCTCTTTTTTATCTCTTTATCCCTAGAGGAAGTCCTTAGTATCCACTAGCACTTTGATCATCGACCCTTGGGAACTTTCATTTCATGTCACTTGCACGTCCAACACCTTTTCTAAATATTTCTTTATTTTGAGTCCCATTTCAGCTGAAAGCCAGTGTAGGGATAAGTTCAGAATTTGAATCCAAAGCTTGATCTCCTGTTATTCTGATGCGAAGTCCATTGAGTTTGGATTCCACACTTTTAGCAGTATATACTGATCGTCAAATGTCCATGTCTTTTTATTCATATTCTTCTCTCGATCTTATTCATTTTGAAACAGAAATAAGAATTTATTAGGTTCTAGGTTTCTGACCAAGAAAGGTTGACGAGTAACCCAGATGTTATTGAGAGTTGCCTTGAGCCCACGAAAGTTGGCTTTTTTATCACAAAAAATTTCACCTATCAAGCTCAATATGCACTTCTTCATACCAGGTGCTATATCTTCCTCTGATAGTCCAATTCCTTACACCTCTTTTTCCGAAAGCGCAAACCGCTTCAGTTTTTCCGTAATATCCTGCTCCATGCAGAGAAAAAAGGGAACCCTATGGAGACTTAGTAGAGAAAGAAGGATACGACAAAGCTCGAACACTCAAACCAAGTGAAGGGAAAGAAACCCTAATAGCATAAAAAGGGCAAACACCGCTAATAAGCAAGCCAAACAACCCAACCCTAACAAACACAGATCAAAACGGGAAGAATGAGGAAAACACGATACGAAAACCTAAAACTCGAATCCAAAATCTTACACCAGGAACTGAAACTCTATAGAGAGGAAAAACCTATAGGAGAAACTCTTGATTTCAGTTGATACAACCTCACATAATTTGTTTCATACACAGTAACAGTTGTAGCTATATTTTTTTCCACTAAACAAAAGAAAATTAAAGAAAGTAAAAAGATGAATCTTTACCTTAGAGTTTTGTAACTTAGATAATTAAAAAGCTATAATTTTTTTCTTTAAAAAAAAAACATAACGGTTCCGTTTTCCTACGCATGATCGTGCTTCTAGTGCCAATTCTCGAACCAAATTTATCAATCCACAGCCAATCTCTTTCTTTCTGTTCCTATTTTCCTTGGTTAAAGAATGATAATGGACAAGAGCAATCACTAAATCAGTTCCACTGAAGTCATTATCCACTGGAACATGTGAGAGTACTTGTGTTTCATTTTATGTTCCCCGTTGTGTTCATTCTATATTGGATGGATATTTAACAACGAGTATCAAAGAATTTGCCATAACATTACACTTGCCATTATTGACTGCATTCACAAACCACATGAAGCAGTTCTTTAGGTTCCGACAGCATCTGGAGCGAGCTATAGATCATCAAAGTTCTCGACAAGAATAGCCTCCAACTTCGATGATTACACCCCATAAGTTTTGTTATTATGTCATTTTCTTACCCCCATTCTGTTATTAGCTCAAGGATAAACAAAACAGACATTTGCAGGATCCTGGGAAACTGTAGAGAATTCTGTCACTGAAGTGATGACACATAATACAAGTTTATCGTCAATAAACCTCAGATTTGCTTACAACTCCACCCTGAGGATATATGCTAAAGACTTTTGCCACAGCACACACAAACACACACACACACACACGAGTAAGGACAAACGATAAGACTCAAAGTATTAAATAAAATTACAGGTCCAAAGCACAACATTCAATAATCAAAAGGCCACCTCATCCGGCTATTCTCCTCACCTGCCGAGCTACTCCCTCCATTATTCTGTGAACCACGGTGCTCATTATCATTATTATTACTATAACTGTTATTTTGGCCCGAATTTGAAGGCCACAAGAAGGAGAAGGGGTTCCAACGCCCCTGAGAGCCAGCATTGCTCTCTCTCCTGCTGCTGGGCCCACCACCACCACCACCCGAGTTAGGCCGAGAACGCCCATTATGCGAAGGAAGCTCCACACGACAAACGGGGCACGAGTTGTGCTCAACGAGCCAAGGGACAATGCAGTCAGAATGGTAAATATGGTCGCAGGGCATCTGCCGTGCCTTCGACCCAAGCTCGAACTTGTCCTGACACACGGGACAATGCGCGTCCGTATTGAGATGCCTCTGCGTGATCTTTATAGTCGGCATGGCTTCAATCGCCGAGCGGGGGGCTGGGGGAGGGCCACGCCGGTCATTTACGGCCAGCCTCTCAATCAGCTCATGCAGCCCATGGTGGCCCGCAAAGAACTCCGCGAGATCAGCCCGTCTAGGGCCCATCCCAGGGTCAGCAGTGCTGAAGAAGAGGTCAAAAGGGTCCTGGCTGGAGGATCGGCCCTGGAGGATCAGCAACGGGCCCCTCTGCTCCGGACGGGCCCTAATGTCAAAGGTTGGGTCCCACCCGGCCATCCTGCGCCTCATGAGGGCATTTAACGCGTCCGTCAGACCCAATCTGGAGTTTTGAAAAGGGTCTGGAAATGGTCCCACCCAGCCAGCAGCATTGTTAGGATGGGAGCCCGTCAACTCGGGCAGTTCCTGAATG